GGTAAGGACAGGGACCCCCAACAGTGTCACCGTGGGTAAGGGCAGGGACTCCCAACAGTGTCACTGTGGGTATGGGCTGAGGCCTTTGACAGCATCACCATGGGTAAGGACAGGGACCCCCAACAGTGTCACCGTGGGTAAGGGCAGGGACCCCCAACAGTGTCATCATGGGTAAGGACAGGGACCCCTGAGAGTGTCCCCGTGGGTAAGGGCAACAGCATCACCATGGGTAAGGACAGGGACCCCCAACAGTGTCACTGTGGGTAAGGACAGGGACCCCAAACAGTGTCACTGTGGGTAAGGATAGGGACCCCAGACAGTGTCACTGTAGGTATGGGCTGAGACCCCCAACAGTGTCACTGTGGGTAAGGGCAGGGACCCCTGAGAGTGTCACCGTGGGTAAGGACAGGGACCCCTGTCACTGTCACCTTAGGGCCCCCCAACAGTGTCACCATGGGACCCCCAGATGGTGTCACCTTGGGTAAGAGCAGAGACCCCCAGACAGTGTCACCATGGGGCTCCAGTGGTGTCACCTTGGGTAAGGGCAGAGACCCCCAGACAGTGTCACCATGGGTAAAGGGCAGAGACCCCCGACAATGTCACTGTGGGTAGGGGCAGGGACCCCTGAGCAGCATCACCATGGGACCCTTGGGCAGTGACACTGTGGGTAAAATAGGCTCTTTTTGCAGTTTAGAGTCAAAGGTTCATTTTGTCAGTATTTGCAAACAACCAGTTTGTGGAAGCAAACTTGGACGGCCAAAGCTCCCCCAGCCCCTTGGCACAGCTTTCCTCTCACCAGACCCTCTTGCTTCCCAGTCTGATTGAGTGGCTCATTCCACCTCTGAGCAGGTCACAGTCAGTCCAGGGCTGTGGTTTGAGTGGTTTCACACTCTCCCAGGGCCTGGCGACTCCTGTAGTGAGCTGAGGTGTTGGAAAGGACTGGGTCATGCAGCCAGTTATGATTTCAATAACCCTTTAATCCCAAACCATATTGGATCCTTTTACCATTGTCACACCTGAGGAAGGATTTGTCAGACCCGCCGTGGTGGCTGTGATGGGATGTCCCTGGGACATGGGAAGCTGTGGGCACTGTGTGTGTCCATATCCTGCTCACTGTGAGTTCTCAGGTCCTTCAAGGCCTTGGTTTGGTTTTTTACTTGTTTCCAGCTACACTGGGAGCTGTGTTTGGCTTAAGCACCTGCCTCAGTGCCCAAGTCCGTGAGAAACCAGACGATCCCCTGAACTATTTCATCGGTGGCTGTGCAGCAGGAGCTCTCGTGGGTGCTAGAGGTGAGTGTGGGTAGTGCCTGCAGTGGAACGAGCCCTTGCTGATTTTAGGGAGCTTTCTCTTGGGGAAAATGTTATCTAATGTTGTCAGGCTCTTTGGTAAAAGCATCATCTCAGCCTCTGCTTCACACTAGTTTGGCACTCCGGTGTATAGGTGTGCTAAGGTAAGGGAGGACAGCGAAGGGAGCATGAGATGATGCAGAGTGAAAGCAGAGCTGGCCCAGTGCTGCCAGTTAGAGTTTAAAATTGCAGGGTATGTCAGATGTAGCTGTGGAGATCCATTAACAACGTGAGACTGGTTGTACATGGAGGGTAGAGGGTGATACCTGCCTTGTGGATTCCTCATGGCCCGAGGGACAAGCTGTGTCCTGCTGCTGTGCATCCTCTGGCCTTGTCAGGCTGGAGCAGCTTCCCCAGGTGCTGGCACAGCTCTGTCTCCTGGAGGCCTTGGGACTGGAATCTAAACAAGGGAGGGATTTATTTACCTTGTCATTGTGGTGAAGCAGAATTTATCCTGTCCTAGTTGCTGTTCTGATGAGAGCTGGAAGCAGTGATTGTTATGTTTGTCTCTCAAATGAGCCGTGTCAGATTGCCCACAGAAGGGGATGGGGCAGTGGATTGTTGAAATGAAGATGTCACATTGTGAGCTGAAAGCATAGGAAAACTCAGTTTTATTAGAAGGTCACTGTTCCAATTTCTCTGGGCAAGGGAATTCTGGAAAAGTTGAGATCTGCTGCACAGGACTTGTGCCTAACAGACCTTTCCTGGTTTGCTGTGTGTCCCCCAGCTCACAATTACCTCACTGGCACCACGGCGTGCGTGGGCTTCGGCGTCACCGCGGCCCTCATGAAGATTGGCAACAAGGAGGGCTGGAGGTTGGCAGGACCTCCCAAGCTCTAGATGTCACCTGCCCTCCCTGGGAGCTGCTGGGAATGCTGTGTGTACCTGGGACGTTGTGTAATAAAGGTTTGGTCACATCAGCAGTTGGCACAGCCTCGTGGTGTCGTTGGGGCTGGTCCTGGTGTTGGGATGTGGTGTGGGAAGCTGGAGCTGCTGGAGGGGAAGCAGCTGCAGGGGGTTGCTCCTGACTGGATGTCAGGCACCCCCCAAAACTGCTCTCACTGCCCCCTGCAAATGGACAGGGGAGAGAAAACAGAGCAAAAGGGTCCTGAGTTAAGGACCAGGAGAGATCACTTGGTGAGTACTGTCCCAGACTCAGCCTGGGGAAAGCAGGTGATTTTAGTACTGACAAGATCAGAGCAGGATAATGAGAAATAAAACAGACCTTAAAACACCTTCCCCCACCTCTCCCTCCTGCCCAGCTCTGCCTTCTGCCCCAGCAATGAGGGCTACGCTCGGTTCATCACGTTTCTACTGCTGCTCAGGGAGAGGAGTCCATGTCCTGCTCCAGCCTGGGCTGATCCCATGGGGTCAGAACTTGTCCTGCTCCAGCCTGG